CCCCCCCCCCGATGCATTTTTCAAATTTCGCCTTGGGGCAGAGTTATCTTCTCACAGGGGTGGTAAGATACACTTTAACAGGAAGAAACCTCCAGCAGAACCAGGCTCAGGACAGGTGGCCATCTGCCTCGACCGGCTGGGTTTCAGTACACCTAAATCATGGTTCAGAAATGTGATGGTCACAGTTCATTACAGCACAACAAGTAAAAGGAACAAATGCTATTTTCAAACCTTCCTTTTTTTTCCCTCTCCCAGAAGCAGAGACAAACAACATTAATGTTAGTAGGCTAAGTTTAAAGTTATGTATTATTCACCACAACGTAGGAATTGTTAATTATATAATTACAAGTCATACTTGACTGTTTTTTAACCTAAACTGTAAAGAGTACAGCCATGCGTCAAACAGAAAGTTGGATGACATCTAATGTGAAAATAATATAAAATGTGAAATACTTCTCAGGTAGTTTACACTTCTGGACGTTTTTACACAGCTAATTGGAATTAAACGTTCAGGTTAGATTTGTATCTGCTTGTTTTTTTTAGGTTGAGCACTTCGTTTCCTCCTCTGCTTCCTGTCTGCTGCAGCTACTAGCAAAATGTGGTTAAATAAATGGTGCTCATCAGATTACTGTACCCACGCAAAACGTCTGCATGGAATCGTGGCAGTATAAATATATTTACAGTGGGTTAATAAGTATTGAACACGTCACCATTTTTCTCAGTAAATATATTACTAGAGGTGCTAATGACATGAAATTTTCACCAGATGTTGATAACAATCCAAGTGATCCATACATTCAAAGAAATCAAACCATAAATGTCCAGAAATGAAGTTACAGTATACAGATGTATCAAACATTCTGTTTTAATTTATATTTTACCCAACACAATAAGGTTTGTACTTTCATGTTTTGCTTCCTGTGGCTGCAGGTTTGAGCCCAAGTTGCATCAGAATGAGCATTTCACCTAAAACGGTTTCCAAACTGTTCGAGTTCAGCTGCTGCAGAAGTGAGCAGCTGGAGGAAAACAACAGCTTTCATGTTTCCCGTTCATTTTCTGCTCTGGCCTCATGACACCCCCTCTGAATCACACCTACAAATTATTAGTCCTACAAGTGTAGCTATAAATCATGGAGTGTGTGGCGTAATAAAAAAACCTATTTTACAAGTAGACTAAGGCTGCAACTAACGATTATTTTAATAATCGATTAATCGGTTGATTATTTTTCGATTAATCGGCCAAATCATTAAAACGCTTAATTACATGAATATGAGTAGATATAAATTAAGTTAACTCCTTAAGGATACAAGTTATTGATAATGAATTAATCTGAAGTTGATATATCTTATAGATTGACTAACAATTAAAAGCAGCCATTTTCTTAAAAACTGGAGTTTTCTCTTGAATCAAGAGGGTCTTTTCATAACATGAAGGATTTTGTTTATAATCCCCTGAATTAAAAAACAGAAGCACATCATACAGCGGTAAAATAAGTATTGAACACGTCACCATTTTTCTCAGTAAATATATTACTAGAGG